AATGGTGATTGAGGAAACAAGGGTCGTGTTTTCGTATTCGGGACGGTCCTATTTGTGTCATGCGGGAAACCTAAATATTTACGTGATTGGTTATAAAAAAATGGAAAACTCTTCGAATGCTATTCACACGAGAATTTGAAGAGGACCGTAATCATAATATAGAACGGATGAAAATGTTTGCTTATTATACGTGCTTGCTAGCTTGCTGGTTGTCCAACTAGATATATTTTATTGGCATTTGTGTCGCCATCTGGATTGCGAACCCAGTTTATTGCGGCTGAATAACATGTACGGCGGTATTGGATTTAGCGAAAATAATCTACGACTTGCGTCCAGCCTCTCTCAAATCGCAAGGAACTGTCAAAAGACTAGCTTAGCTAGGAAGCCATAGAATGGCACAAGGTTTAGCTAGGAGCTAGGAGGAGCCATGAGAATGGCGAAAGGTTTTAGGTGCTAGGAAAATTGAGGAGAGAAAAAGAGATTGGGAATAGAAGAGAGAGGGATACAAGGAGGGGTGTTGTACCCTCTATAGTAAAGTTCAGTAACCTACCAAGCCTAATAATTATATAATACAATATATAATTTTAACAGGAACCTCGTCAGAAATTTCATTGGCAGACGGGGCATTTTGACCGTACGCACTACAATAGTTGTACGCCGTACGATCGGAGTAGAGCGTGTTGGATCATACCGAATTATGGAGGTTATGATAGTATCTGGACAAAAATTTAGAGGACTCAATGACATATCCGCTGTTTATTGATTGTGAACTATTTCAGCGCACCTTTTTCCCTCTATTGTCTCACTCAGAACAGTCCCACCTACCAGTTTCTCAGCATGACTCGCGTTGACACTGAACCTGATTGGTTGCAGTCTGAACGATAACGAACAACCAGGTCGTTTTTCGACAATTGCGAGTTCCAGAGTTGGTACGTCGCGCGGGCAACTAATCTAGTGCATAAGCGAGATTTTGTAACCAAGTGTCAGTGTTAACTGTGGATTTTCCCCTTCAAGGTCCCGTTTGCCCGTGTTTCATCATTTCCTGCTTACAGGCACAAGCCGCGTGGGAAAAATGTAAAACCAAATAGAAGAAAAGGTGCCCCTTTTTACTGTGCCGTCTGCTGGTTTGGGAGAATGGGGGCATCATTTGCCAGTTTCCTAGGCCTCACGTGCAGCTAAATCATTTACAGCGATCACGCGGTGGCTTAGATTCTCTATTTCACGCAACTGATTCATGTGGTGGTTTGGTTAGGTGACATCACAGATTCACATCCTGATGTTGCAACGTGGGTGTGGCAGGTCCCCGCTCGTCGTGGTGATTGGAGAATGGGTTCGAAACTTTACCGCCGAGGTGTTCAGGCGTGCCCAGCACGTGAGGCCTCCAGGAAGCACGAAAAGCTTGTTTTCCAAGGCCGTGATTTGACTTGAGAAGATTCAAATCTGGTCGACACCCGGGAAAAAACTCTACGCCTACATTTTCCTGATGTCGGAAATCACCACGTCGGCATACTTTCGAGTGAGACTCGACATCGGGTGTAACACGGGGCAGGATATTTTTTTATGTCTGCATTTCAAACTTCATCCCCCTTCTTGAATTTGGCAAACGCCGCCAAAACTCGTAAATGACTGGTTCTCTCGGGCAAGCCTCCAAATCGGTGATTCGCGAACTCTAACGGGGGTGGGCAGCGAACAGATCTTGTATCGTGCCGCCGTAATGTTGGAGCTCGGGCAAATGCTTTTGCAGAGGTGGCGAACTCTGAACACGTTTCACAGAAAAACTCAGTGACTCGATCTCAGTCAACTTTAAATCCGCTCTCGGTGCGAAGTACCATGTCTAGGACGAAGTTTTCAGTTGTGGCCACGGCTGGCGTCCACCTCGTTTGTGCAGTGCGGTGTTGATGATCTGGTCTGAGTGATTGTTCGGTCAAAGAGCGAGAGAGTCACACAAACTCCCCGAATCGCGGGGGCATTGTCGTAGCTAGTCTTTTCGCATGCTTCGCCACGGGCAAATGGGACAGAAACGTGGAATTTGTAACAAGGTATTTGTGTCTGGTCAATAAATTGAGGTCTCAACAGGCAATTGTGTGGTCGTTTCGTTCCGCCCTCCATCAACGTGTGGTGGATTCGGAAGCTGTGCGGTGTAGATGTGATTGTATGCGTGATCTCGTTGCCCCTAAATCCGAGGTTTTGGAAAGTGATTCTGATTGGGATAGGCGGTACGTATGGGATTGGATGAGCACCGACTGTATAGATCGGGAATGATGGCAAAAAACGTGATCTAGTGACAGGGAACTCACTAACAGGGTAGCGGGGTACTTTTCCACTGGGTACTTCCCCTTCACTGGGTACTTTTCCGCTGGACTTTCATTTATTTCGTCCACTTAACTGGCTAGGTTTCGTGTGATCCCTTGACATAAAAGGGGTTCTTGGATTCTGAAATTGCACTTGTAGAGGGAAGTCTGTCGATGGTGGTATGTTGCACTTCCTCTTCTCAACTAAGCTGCTAAGGGAAGCAATCTCATTCCCTAACTGATTTTTGAGTTAATGCAATGAATGAATATCTCCTTATCATGATTCGTAAAAATGATATCCTTATACAAGGGTTCCCACACCATGTTCATCCGAGCTGCGTTGCCCAATGTGGCCTATCCCGAGCCGCATGCACATCTGTACGCTTTTCACATTTCGTGCTTGTCGAGTGCGCTCCGAGCCTATTTTCCTGCCACATGTCCAACCTCTGCCGAGCTTGCCTGTTTGCTTCGTGCTTAACTATATCATAGTGTTGGACTAGTTTTGATGTTTCCAACTGTGTAATATTTCTTGCTAGTGCAATTACCGATTCTTGCAACTTGTGCATCCTAACAGCTAGGCTAGCATGAAGTGTTGCTACTCCCGTAACCCATCTGAGTCATGTCGGAGTGGGACACCTCAGTCCTTTTTGGTTTCGTTGGCTCCCCCTTACACATAACACATGCACCTTGCATGCAACGATGGTGAGCATAACACATAGGGTAGTTCTTTCACGAGCCCGCTCGCTTACATACATATTTTATCGATTTCGCCAACTAGCAAGAAAATCTGAAGTTGATTTCACTCTCTAATAGGATGCCTGAAGGTCTTAGCGACAGCCCTGATCAACTGTTATAATGCCTATGAGGAGTATGTACACCACCTTTTACGAATGTGAAATTCAATGGAACCTTTAGGGAACCCAATGAATTTGAACCATCACATTGGGAGTCCGACGTCTCGCATTTCAGTAAGGTATTATTGTTGACAGATGTTATGTGAGTCTAATTGGTTGATGAGTACAATTTTCAATGGTTGAGTTGTTAAGGGCTTCCTATAAAGAAATGCGTCTAGTCACTAAGTCTTGTATCGCGTAGTTCACTTGTGGGGGGGGGGTATTATTTATGGTTTATGCATGAGTTGCTCAGAAGGCATAGTCGCGATGCAAAATTTTGTGCGGCATTGCAACCAGGTCGCAAATTTTAATTGGGCTAAATTTGCGAGCAACCTTTTGGGTATCCGCAAATCGTAGAATTGAATACTAAATCGACTTTATTAGTTAAATCATTAGTATTGGGTTTACTTTTAATCTTTTTGGATTGTTCAGTCCAACCTCTATACCCTTTCTTCACACGCAATCCAAAGCCCTCGTACCATTTTTTCCCTAGATTACATTGTGCCAAAATTATTACCATTGGGCTTCTCTGATGATATACAAGACGAGGATTTTAAATTAGTTGCAATGATAAAGAAGAGGCTGATGGCAGGGCTATGGATTGGTTTGGAGACGATACTTAGGTGGTCGAGGTCCCCAGAAAATGGTCATGGAAGGTATTAGGAGCGGCCAAATCGAACATTGAATGCGAACGAGGTCAGCTTGAACTAGAGCTTAAAACCAGGGTTGCGAGGGAACCGAATCCTAAGACCTTATTATTATGGAAGATTCAATTCCCCAACTGGGGGGGGCTCATTCAATGGAGGAAAAAAAAATGTAAAATGGGAAAAGGGATTGCGGGGGAGGAAGGGGGGGGGGGGGGGGGGAATGCTTTGTTCCAAGGCATGCCTGCGCCATGTTGTGGAAAATCAAGGGAAGGTCTCACATCCGCCCTTAAATCCAGAAAAGGGCTTGACGAAACCCTTAACCATCACAGGCTACCCCCAAAACCAATTTTGTTGTTCGAAAGATGCTAGAGGGTAATCCATAAATATTCAGGGCATCAAGGGCATTTGCCCTTGAAACTACAGCACTGAATGGTAACATTGTACTCGACTCGAACTTTTTGCTGAGCAGAGTATACACCTAGCTCGCGGTATTTTCACACCCGATATTTTCACAGGGGGTACCACTGAGAGGGTATTCACCCCCCAAAAGCAGCTCCTGAAGACCAGATCCGGATACCCTTGAAAAACAACCAGAACTTGGGTTTCTATACAAAACGTTTATTGTTCGATTTAGTGTTTCTTGAGTCAGGAAACCCGACGTCAGCTTAGTTAGTGCTCAAAGTTTTTTTCCCGCGTGGAGTCTGCCAAGGCCGTAGGGACAAGGGGGTACTGTCTACGCACTCAGAAATGGTCAGGGTGGAAACAAAAGTTTTTTCGCCGCCCATTTTCAGGGTGTAAAATTACCGCGGGCTAGGTGTAGTGGGTGAGATATTTTGGCCCGAGAGGACGGGAGAGCCGGATGTGGTTGATCCGGGGGCTCCGAGTGAGAGCAGAGCGGAGCCACCGAGCCACTCCCCCACTGTCCTGTGTGCGCATCCAACCAGCTTGCATGACTGAGGACGCGGTCGGTGCACATGCGGAAGGACGTGGGAATGTCGACGCGGCGTTATGTGGCGCTTGGAGAAAAGCGGGGCTGCCTGCCAGCTCGCCAGCTTCTTTGAACCGCACGCCGCGTCGAGTGCATTCGATTTGGTGTCATGATGATCAACCGAACTGGGGACTTTCGCCTCAACGCAGAGCAGGGAGCAACAAGAGCGGCTAACCATGTGGATGGTGGAGTTCCCGAGGAGGCTGACGAGACGAAACGAAACCTAGAGGCGCTCTTGAGGTTGTCAGGCATGCGAGGTCGTGTGAGTCAGCAGCAGACTCGAAGGCAGACTCCAAGAATGACCGACGGGAGAGGCGAGAGACAAATGACGAGGCCGTAGAGCTGATCGCGTAAAGGCATGCGTAGAAGCTCCGAAGCGAAGGCAGTGATGAAACGAGCCGACTGGTTACTAACCACGACAGCAGTTTACTACGAAACACGTCCGAATTTGAAAGTCCACCATACAGCCTGTGAACAGATTCGCGTCTCAGAGCCCGTGCATGGCGATGGTTATATTGGGTGCTAGGGCTGCTATCGGACTCCACGTTTCATAGTCGAGATTCGAGAGTTCGTAACTCACGCCACGACGACCGCCGCCGCGGCTTTCGTAGTGCTGAAAAGGTGCATGATCGACCTTCTCTGGGACGAAACGGTATCATTCCACGCGCCCTCCGACGAAGCGTCGTTTACGTGCGAAACAAGCATCACCGTATTCGCAGCACAAAGCCCCATGGACCAGGTATCATTCAAACCCTAGGCGATTGCGCTGGCTTCAAGCCAAGGTGGGAATCGAACTGCTTGCTTTCCCGACATTATTAGTTGGGAGGAACCCCAGCAAGAACCTTCGTTCGCTGTCTGCCTTCAAGCCTTGCTAGCCCTAGCCCTACGTTCTGCGAAGCTAAGCGGTCTGCTTTCCGTAATAAAGCGCGGAGAATATTCTGATGATCCCGGCTTGGCGGCTTCGTGTCTTTCTCTAGTAGGATGCTGCCTGTGCCGTGAGGGGGACAATCCACGCCGTCTTTCTCCCCTAGTACTAATTTTTGCTTGGATCCCATCCGTTTCTTTCACACCTGTCCGTTATCGCGGTTTTCACGTCGCCCTCGTTGCTTTCCCTTTTCCCCTCCCTCCCCCCCCCCCCGCGCCTGCGATCTCCCTCCCCCGCAGGCTCTGTAACGCAGAAACTCTTCGTATCGTGATATTTACGGCGTGAGCGTTCCCATTAGAAACCCTAAGACGAGCCCCCTCTTTCATCATCGAGTCGATGCTATGGCACACATTCAGCAGAATATGAATCTGCGACCCATGCCGCCGCAGCAGCAGCGGCGGCAAGACCACGGTGCTAGCCCGTCCCTCGTCGGACGAACGTCACCGTCACCGTCAACGTCAACGTTACCGGCGTCAGCGGCGGGGGCAGCCGCGGCGGCGAGCGGGGCTCGGCAGGAGTCGTTGCTGGGGAAGCGGACGCGGGAGGATCTCCAGGAGGGATTTCAAGAGGCGTGGGCAGCATTCGGCAAGGACGGAATTATGCTAGGCGACAGAGGTGCGGATTCCGCCGCCGCCGCCGCCGCCGCCGCCGCTGCTGCGGGCGCCATGTCTGACGCCCCTGATAGCTTCGTGTAAGTTATTGTGCTGATAGCCACGCGCGCAGCCGTTCTTTGCCTCTTTTCCTAGTTTCACCGCTTTCCGCTTCGCCATCTCCCAGGCCGCGTCTTTTCTCTTCGGTTCTTGTTGTCCCCACCGGAGGGTTCAAGAAGTCCTTTCCTGGACCTCCTTCCTCCCCCCCTACACCCCCTCTTCTCGCTTCCTCCCTCCCGTGCTGTCGTCCTGCGGCGGCTTCTCTCCTAGTACTCTATTTTCCCTACCCTCTTCGATGCCTCTATTTGGAAGTTGCGAATCCCGTCGCCCCCTATTGCCGATTCCCGTCGCCCAACATCGCCGTCTACCCTTAAATTCACACAAGCTCTTCCGCCAGCGCGTTCGTCCCGCTACGCTCGCGTGCCCTTGCCGTCCTCGTGCCTCGCTCAATCACCGATTCCTCTCGGCGCAACCCTACGCTTGCTCGCTCGCGCTCCTATTCTTGCTTCCGCACTTCTGCGCCCCCCCCCCCCCGCCCTTCTTTCCCCCCCACGCCTCTTTTTCCATTTAGTGGCTCGTCATCGTAGGGCTGTATGTCACGATCAGTGCGTGTGCGTTTGTCGCACCGATGGAAGCAATTTGATGCGCACCAAGCCAGCCACCGATAGATAAGCGCTAGAAAGATGTGAAAATCAGGCCAAAATGTCTTGTAGCAGATTTTAGGGTTTTCAAACTGTAGGTAAAATTTTTACTCTTCTCAGGAATCACCTACAGCACTCAGGCCAAGATGTCGCGTCACAGATTTTAGGGTTTTCAAGTCCCACAGGGCTATCTTTGACGTTCCTTTTTTATTCTTCGTCTCGTCTCTGTAGCTAGCCCCATAGTCTTACCGACTTTCGCCTTCATTCGATGTTCAGGAGCATGGCATCCCTGTTTTAACTTCAAGCGATGCTCAGTTTCGACTAGCCATAGCGCGCACGGCAGACGGTATACATTCCTGCCTCGCTCCAGTCCCCTCTAACACTGACCAAGCACGTTCAAGCAGCAGCACGCATTCTATAGCTGCTCGGATGCATGCAGCACAAGCCATCTATTCTCTGCATCACCACCATCCTCACTTTCCGTTTCCCCTTTCCCCTCCCCCCACCTCATCTCCCACTTCCCCCCCCCCCCCCCTTTTCTCCCCTTCTCCCCCCCCCCCCCCAGTCCTGATCACGAGAACCCCCTACTGGACCCCTCGTGGCCGCCCTCCACCGCTCTCGCCTTCCCCCACCTCCCCCACAAGAAGCTCCCCACCTCCCTCTGGCCGCCCTACGCGCAACCTCCTGCCGCCCTCCCCCACTCGCGCCTCCTCCACCACCTCGCCCCCTCCTCCCTCTCCCTCCCCTCGGATTCCAGCTCGCTGGAAGGGGAGGCGGGGAAGGGGATGCGAGCAGGGATGGGATTCGGGGTGGAAATGGGTATGGGGGGGACAGGCGGAATGGATCATGATGCAGTTCCGCAGGGCGTGTTTGCAAGAGCGGGGCAGGGGCAGGGGCAGATTCAGCAGCAAAAGCAGCAGCAGCAGCAGGAGGAGGAGGAGGAGGAGGAGGAGGAGGAAGATCTGGATGCTTGGTTTCGTGTGAAGAGACGACATGGGGTGAAGCAGGGAGGAGAGGGGGGGAGAGGAGAGGCCGGAGGGAGACGAGGGACCGGGCGGAGCTCGGCATCAGGCTCACCTGCTCCTGCAACAGCAGCAGCAGGGGCAAGCGCAGCAGCAGCAACAGCAGGAGGGGGTATTGGTTCACATTCCCAGAGCAAGCTTGCAGGCGTTGCTGCTGCTGCAGGCCTTGCCAGGGATACGACTGGAAGGGCTCGCCCTGCGGCTAAAGTCGCTGTTGCAGTTGACACACCAGCCGCCATGGCAGCAGTGATGCCAACACCACCCACCACAGACGCAGCAGCAGCAGCAGCAGCGGCACCCCCCTCTCGCCCCTGTTTCCCCCGCCGCCCATCAGGCGGCTACAGTGCCGTGCGGCGCGGCACTCTACGTAAACTGCCCCCTGTGCCCGCCCTCGGCGCCCCCGCCCCCTTCCGCCCCCACTCCTCCTCCCGCCACCCTCTCGCTGCTTCCTCCACTGCTGCCGCCATCACAGCTGCACGTGCTTCAGCGCCTATTTGGGGTGTGGCAGGGAGAGAGGGAGGGGGGATGGTGGGGGACAGGCAGGGGTCTGAATCTGCGGGGGAGCGGAGAGCGCAGGAGGGAGGGAGAGTGGGTGAAGCTGCTGCTGTGGGTGGTGGTATTTCTTGCAATGCTTCTGGTATGGCTGCAGAATCAATGGCTCGTGCGTCCGGATCTGGTGCCACAGGTTTGGATGCAGGTTTGGCAACAGGAGCGGCAGGCTCGGCGGAAGGCTCTGCCTCAGCTATGGCTTCTGCTTTTGCCGCAGCAGCAGCAACTGCAGCAGCGGCAGCATCAGTAGCAGTATCAGCAACAGAACCAGCAAGAGCAGAAGGAACAGAAACCCCACCTGAGCAGGGTTCTCTGTCTCCTCTCTTCCCTCACTCCCTCTGTGCGGCTGCTGCCTTCCCCCCGTTCTACTCCCACCTGCCTTGTCACGAAGGAGATGCTCTCTTGTCTGCACTCCTTGACTCCATGCCTTCCCCTGCCTCTCCTGCCCCTGCCATCCCTGCTCCTGCTGCTCCTGCTCCTCCTGCTGCTGCTCCTGCTGCCCCTGCACCTGGTGGTAGCGCCTCCGGTGCTGCAAATGGGGGTGCAGCTGCTGCTGGTCTGGGAGCAAGAGGAGAGGGATCAGGAACTGCCTGTGGGGGGGCAGGGAGGGCAGTAGGAGCACGGGACGCGGGGAAAGGGGGAGCTAGGGAAACGGGGAGAGCAGGGATAGAAAGGGAAGCGGGGGGAGGGGGAGGGGGAGGAGCTGAGGGAGTTGGTGGGGCAGGGATAGTTGGAGGTGCGGGGGTATTAGGGGGAGCAAGGGGGGCAGGGGCAGGGGGGGGGGCTTGGGCAGGGGCCGCTAAGCCAGTGTTGAATTTCGCCCAGTTCTCGCGGCCTCTCCAGCAGTATGGCAGTGCCCATGTGAAGACTCTTCGTGCTGCCATCGCCCGCACCAACACTCGCCTCGCTCCCCCTCCTACTGCACCTGCTGCTGCTGCTGCTGCTGCTGCTGCTGCTGCTCCCGCTTCGGCTTCTAATGTCGCCGCTGACGCCGCCACTGCTTCTACTGGTGTCGTTGCGAGCAGCGCTTGTGCTGCTGATGCAGGTGCAGCAGGCCCGGCGCAGCCAGCACACGAGGAAAGGACATGCACACAGGGGCAAACACACTCAAGAGCTATGCTACCTCCTGCTTCCTCCCCACATCTCTCTGTCCCTTCCTCTGTCCCTTCCTCCATCCGTGGCCCATCCTCGTCCCCTTCCATGCCTCCACCGCCCCTCCCAGCATCCGCTGCTGCTCCTCCCTCACGCTCCCCTTCCTCCAGCCTCACTCGCTCACGCACCCCATTGAGAGCACATTCCACCACACTCATACGTGCGGCGAATGCTGCCGGTGCTGCTGCTGCCGGTGCTGGTATGAGACGGGATGCAGGGATTGCAGGGGAAGTGGGAGAAGGCACAGTTGATGGCGGGGCGCACAGGTCAACGGCACCAGCTGTACCCACTGCGCCAGAGCGACGATCGGTAGCAGCATCGCCAGCACCAGCAGAAGCAGCAGAAGCAGCAGCTGCAGCAGCAGCACCTACTTCCTGCACCCCCCCGCAAATGCCAGCTCATTCCCTTGCACCTGGGCCTTCTGCCCCTACTGCTACCACCGATGCTGCTACCACCGCTGCTGCCAGCACCGCTGCTGCCACTATCGCCACCAGTGCTCCTGCCACCCTCACCAGCCTTTCTGGCAGCACTGCACGGGCGCCCACTCCACAGCTCGCCTCTCACTCTAACAAGCAGCACAGGCGGAACGTTAAGAGCCCGCCTGTGGGGAGCGTGAGACCACCTTGTGGTGGGAGGAATGCGAGTGCTGCTGACACCGCTACTCTCTCCCTACCCTTCACTCTGCCGTCCCACCCCCCTGCTGCTGATGTGGGCTGGAGGGTTGGGGGTGAGGGAGAGGGAGGTGTGGGAAGGGGCGGGGGAGGAGGGGAGGGTAGGCAAGGGGCGGAAGGAGGGGAGGAGAGGGGTAGGGAGGAAGGGAGGAGGGATGGGAGGGATGCAGAGCGGTTAATGCAGCTGTATGCGCAGTATAGGGGCAGGGATGGGCAGGTGGGGGAGAGGAGAACGGAGGGGTACGGAAGGGTGGAAGGCAGGGAAGGGGAAGCTGCAGAGAGAGGGGTTGGTTTGGGTGTTGTGGCGAGCACGAGGGAGAGTGGGACAGAGAGAGAGTGGAAGGGGCAGGGTGAAGAGTGGAGGATGGGGAGTGTGGGGGGTGAGAGAGGAGGGGATGGCATGGTTGGTGTGGGTAGTGTGAGAGAGGCGGATGGGGAACAGGAAGTAGAGTACAGGGAGGATGAGGAAGGAGAGAAGGAGGGAAGGGGGTTTAGTGAGCTGATTGAGGGAAACTGGAAGATTACGGGTGGGAAGGAGAGTGGGGGGGAGGAGAAGGAGGAGGAGGGGGGGGAGGAGGAAGAGGAGGAGAAAGTGGAGGGGGAAGCGAGGGGAGAGGGGCGCATGGTTGCTCGGGATGGTTACACCCATGGGGGCCGACCAGGCACAGAGGGAGCGAGCAACAAAGGGGTGAGTCCGAAGGGGGATGGGTGTTAAAGGACCTTCAGGGGGTGGAAAAGGCGGCATATATGTGGGTTGTAGTGGGCGATCTAAAGTTGTTTAGCCTGGGATGTGTTGCGTCTGTTGTCATCTCTCCGCTCCTCTTGCCCTGTTATGTAGCCTAGCTGCCTGTCATTTCCAACCCAACCCCTCGCCTCTCTCTGCTTTCCCTCCCTTCCCTTCCCTCTCCTCATCCCTGTATTCCTCCCCTTCTTCCCCCCACTTTCTGCCTCCACCCCTCTCCTTCCCATCACTCCACAGCCCTCTCTCCTGGGGGCAGGGCGCTGGCAGCTACAGGCAGTGGCAGGGATGCAGAGGGGGGGAGGGGGGGCATCGGGGGACGAGAAGGAGGAGGACGAGGACGAGGAAGAGGAGGAGCAGGAGGAGGAGGAGGAGGAAGAGGAGGAGGAGATACAGCGACGAGAGGGGGGAGAGAGGAGAGGCGAGGAGGGTGAGGAGAGGGGAGTGGTTGCTGGGGGGGGAAGAGGAGGAGGAGTGGGGGTGGCAGGGAGAGGCAAGGCAGCAGCAGGTGGAGCAGGGCGAGCGCGGTCTGCACGCGTGCACAATCTATCAGAGCGGGTGCGTGCGTGCCTCGTGTCATCTTAGTCCTTCCTGTCCGGTCCTCACTTACTCTTCCTTTCCAGAATTGCCCGTACTTAATCGTCAAGCCCCCTGTGACGTGTCCACCGTCAAGCCTATTCCCAACCCTTGGTCCGTCCTCTGCTTCCGATTCCATTCCACCCCCCCTCCCCCCCGTATCCCTCTCTTGAACGAATCTCCGTATCTTCCCTCTTGCCCGCACCCGCACGCCCCTCCCTCCCCTCCCCTCCCACCACCCTCCACCCCCCACCCCCCCCTTTCCCCCCTTCTTCCTATCACCTCCGTTTGTGAACCACAGCGGCGGCGGGACAAGATCAACGAGCGGTTCAACACAATGCGGGAGCTCCTGCCGGAGTGCAGCAAGGTGGGCTTGGGGACTAGCTGTGGTGGCGTTGGGAGTCGGAGAGTGGTGGGGACTGTTGGAAATGGATTGTGGGGATGGATTATGCTTGTACTTGATCATTGGCATGACTGCATGATGCATGGTGATGTGGCTGGGGATTCTCCCATGGTTAGTCCTTCCGCCCGTGTCTTGCTCTTTCTTTACCTCTCCAACCATCATCCCTTGCCTCTCCCTCTTCTCCCTCTACCCCCCATGTTTCTCCACTCCCTTTCCTCGATTCACCCATCCCGGTCCGTCTCGCCATCCACCCCCCAATCTCTTTCCTCACCCTCACTCGTTGTGTGCATGCATGGCACATGGACAGAGCACCATCTCTAGAGAAGTAATTTGAGTAGCCATGCAGCCGTTACTGCAGGCTGACTCCCTCTCCCTCTCCCGCCCTTGTCTCGCCCTCATTCTCTCTCCCCCCCCCCCTCTGACTGTCCTGCGCCTCCCTCGCCATTTGTGCATGGCAGACGGACAAGGCGTCTCTGCTGGACAAGATCATCGAGTACATCAAAGCCATGCAGCTGCAACTGCAGGTGCGCTCTCCCCCTCTCCCTGCTGCACCCGCCCCTCTTTCTCCCCGTCTGACGCGCTCTCCTTATCACATACCTGTGTACACGCTCCCACACATGCGCAAGCATTCACGCACACTCACACGCACACGCACGCACACACTTGCGCACACACCCACGCACGCACTAACACTTTCGCCCGCCACACACACACACACACTTACACACTCCTACAGCATGCTATGCACTGTCCTCTCAGCCTCCTCCACAACGTGCACGATACGGATCAGTCACTGAAGACGCTCACATTTCCCACGCTGCCCTCCCATTTTACCCGTGCCCGTCTCTCCCCTCCCCCCTCCACTCTCTCTCCATCTTTCCAGCTCATGTCCCTGCGGTCAGGGCTGGGGTCATCCACTGCACCTCCACACGCCCTACCGCCACTCATGGCCCACACCATCCCTTCCACAGTACCGGCAGCAGGCGCCGCAGCAGCCGCAGCAGCTGCAGCTGCAGCAGCAGGGGTGCAGCAGGCCCCTCTTCCCTTGTGCAACTTCCCTTCCCGCTCTGTGTTTCTTCCCCAGGCATCTGTGCCAGAGTCTGCCCTTGGTTCCATGCATCATCACCTGCTGTGGCAGCAGCACTTGTACAGGCAGCAGCAGCAGCAGCACGAGCAGCAGCGTCAGCAGCAGCAGCAGGAGTGGCAGCGGCAGCAAGAGGAAGTGGCAGTGGCAGTGGCGGCACAGCAGGCACAGCAGGCCGAGCGTGATCTCTTCATACAGCTGCTCCAGCAGCAGGGAGAGGAAGAGCAACTCCAGTGGCAACAGCTGCACCTGCAGCAGCAGCGGCAGCAGCAGGAGGTGCAGGAGCAGCGTCAGCATCATCACCGTCATTGTCGCAATCAGCAGCAGCTGCAGCAGCAGCGGCAGGGGCAGGAGACTCCTCTCACACACGTCCTACCATCTGCCACTCTCCTTGCCCCTCATACTCCTCTGCTCCCTCTCCCTCACATTGCCAGTCTCCACGCACCACCACTCGCCTCCACCTTCCCTGATGCTGCCGCTGCACCAGCTGTCACTCCTGCTGCTGCTGCTGCTGCTGCTGCTGCTGCTGCTGCAGGGGCTGCTGTGGCGGATCGAACAGCAGCCATGGGAGGCGTGGGAGGGTCGCGAGGAGGCTGCGGTGGGGGAGGAGGGAGGGTACGGGGAGCAGAGGGCGAGAGGCACCAGAGGCAGATGTACAGTCTGATGGAATGGGAGAGGCTGTGCGCTGCTCAGGCTGCTGCTTCTTCTTCTGCCGTGGTCGCCGCCGCCGCTGCTGCTGCTGCTGCTGCTGCTGGTGCTTCAGAGGCGAAACTGGCTGTTCGATCACGCGAGAGCCATGGGAGGCGGCATGAGGAGAGGCAAGGGGGGAATAGGCAAAACGGAGGGGTTGGAGAAGGGAGGGGGTTGAGAGCCCGTGCTGTGACTATTGGATCCACCGCAGGTGCAGCCGCATCAGCAGCAGCAATGGGCGGGGCAGCACCGGGAGGGGCGGCAGGGGTTGATAGTATGGCGGCAGCAGGAGCAGGAACTTGGGATTTGGCTGCAATGGAAGCAGCAGCACTGGAGGTGGCACGATTGGAGAATGAAGCAGCAGAGGGAGCTGTGGGTCTGGGTGGAATTGGGCTCAATGGAAACAGGTTATCTGCCACAGAAGCAGCGGGAGCGGAAGCGGCAGCAGGAGTGGCGGCGGCAGCAGGGGTGTATCCAGGAGCTGGGGATGACGCGGTGGTGCTGGCGTTGCTCTTCCCTCACTCGCGCTCGCAACCAGGCAGGGAGAGGGGTGATGGGAGGAGGAGGGGACAGCAAGGGCGTGACAGTGGGCTGTGGAGAGGGGGAAGCCTGGGCTGGTAGCTGAAAGTTTCCGATGGTTGCTGCGAGTTTGGGATGGGAGAAGGTCATCTTCGGTGCGGGAGCAGACGAATATTGGATGGTAGCAAGAGAAAGGAACCAAAGGAAGCAGAGGAAGCAGAGGAATCTGGGATGGTGGCGAGCACAGGAACCTCGGAGGAGCATGGCGGTGGAGTAGAAAGGAGTTTGGCACATGTGAAAGGCTTTAGCTAATTGCACAGAAAGCTGGTGTGCTGTCGGTGCTGTGTGGTGGGGTCAGCTGCTTGGCACCTGAGCACCTGGGCACTGGGCACATCAGCCCTTGAGCACCTCAGGAGCAGCATGGTCGATGGTGAAATGCAGGCGAGGAGGCATGCAGCTGGTGGGAGGTCCAGGGGCTGCTACTGTGGTTGCACGTGCTTCTACTAATGCCTTCTGTAGCACACCATCCAGCTGGAGGGAGCGTGTGTACATAAGGCATAGCGGTTGCTGCGGTTGTACGTGTGTGCTTCTACCACATCAGGAGTGGGGTGGGGGCGGTTGTGGTTGCACTGGCACGTGTCTCTACTACATAATGGTGGGCAATGGGCATGGAGGGAGGGAGTGCAGGGTCTGCTCCTGTACCATGATGACGCCATCCCCTGTACAGGCCTTTCTGGCGGGTTTCACCTGAGCAGCCAGCTGTCACTCAGCTGTTCACCTGACATGAGAAATTATATGTTGGACAGAGGTGATGCCTTTGCCAGAGCAGTTTCTTTGCCAGAGCAGTTGGACAGCTCTTTGCCAGAGCAGTTTCTGCCTGCTGGTTGCAAGGTCTTGATACGAACATTACATACGGAGAGAGTGTTTGGGTTGCACTGCCTTGCTGTGTTAGTGTTTATTTCCAACACAGTCTGCTGTGCTGTAACAAACAGCCTGGTTGATTGTTTTGTTTGCTTGTGGGTTGATATGACAGAGTTGGTGTTGCCTTTTTTGTACTGGTAAGAGTGTTACGTTAGAATAGTGCAATAAAATTGACTACCAAGGGGAAAGGGGGAGAAAGGTAGAGTACAAGGTGTTATCCTCCCTAATAGCTGACTTTGCTTGGTTATACAAACCTACAGTAACTAGATATGCTTGTTGACACATGTCAGAAGCACAGTCGCTAACCACAGTGCTAAAATGGCTTGTTAAGGCCCTTCACTAAAATGGAAAACCCTACTCAAGTTGAACAAGAAAGGGGTTTGAAACACACTTGGGGTTTTTTTTTTGGGCAGCTGGCTATGTTCGAAATAGATCTGAGTTAACAAGTGACTAGAAAGATGGGGTACACGAGATATAAGCTAAGCTGTTGTACCCTCTATGAGCATGCTGTTAACGTAGAAACGAATGATTACTAGAGGTGGAAACCTAGAACAAATACTAGTTGGTTGTACTCACTAGAAGCATACCTCAGTCTAGCCTATAACTTCTACATAGATAATATGTATAAGTTGACACACCCCCTAGGCTAGACAAGGGGTGAAACTAAACAAGAAGCAAACAGCTCAGGGCGGCACTACTAGTCCAACCACTGAGGCAGGGGTCTGGAGACCAGTCAGCAAGAATACAACCAAAACTGAAGCAAGCCAGGGTGGCACTACTAGTCCAGCCACTGGAGGTAAGGCCACAAGGCCAGTCTGACAAGCATATATAATAGAGAGTACACAATCAGGATCCTAACAGGGGAGCAGCTATAGGAACAAGACCAAGCTGTACACAGTGCCGCTGATGATCTTTAGGCGCAAGCGCCTTAGTAAAGATATCAGCTGTGTTGGCACCTGAGGCCAAGTGAACTACGCGGGCCTGGCGGCGCTGCTGTAGCTCGCGCAGGAGGAAGTACCGCAGCTGGATATGCTTCGCTCTGCCCTCAAGCCGAGGCTCCTGACACAGGAGTATCATGGCCCTGTTGTCAGCGTACAGGACCGGGGCAGAGCTAGGCCGCTCACCTAAGTCTGTGAGCAAGAAGGTCAGCCAGCGGAGCTCCTGTGCCGCCATGGCACCAGCGTAGATCTCAGCCTCACAGCTAGACTGAGCCACAGACGACGAGCGAGTGGATCTCCAAGAGATAGCACCCGAACCAAGGCTGAAACAGTAGCCCTGCGACGACCTGAGCGTCTCAGCGTCGTCTGCCCAAGAAGCGTCTGTGTGCCCAGTAAGGACCACTGGCCTGCGTCCTCCTAGCACTAACCCCATGCCTGATGTACTAGCAAGATAACGCAAAACCCTCTTAGCGGCAGACCAGTGCTGAGGTCGGTGTCTGCCTGTAGCCACAAAGCGAGCCAGGATGCTGAGAGGGTATGCGAGATCTGGGCGAGTGCAAGTCATCAGGTACATGAGGCAACCCACCAGCTCTGCGTAGGGGCCACTGGGCTCTACTGGCTCCTCAGGAACGGGAGCAGAGAGCCCATGGTCTACGGGTAGAGGTGTGGGCTGTGCGGAGGAGAACTGAAGACCGAACCTCTGAAGGACCTGACGCACCAAGTGTGACTGGGTCAGAGTGATGGTGCGTGCTGCTCTGTCCCTAGAGATCTGCAGGCCAAGATAGCGACGCAGCTCTCCAAGGTCAGTGCAGGTGTGTCTCTTCAGCAGCTCAGCCTTCACAGAGGCCAGTGCGTCCCTGTCAGGAGTAGCGAAGACCAGGTCGTCTACGTAGACAAGGATGTAGAACGGAGTCTGGCCGGAACGCACAAACAGTGAAGGGTCAGCAGAGGACGGAAAGAACTGCAGGTCTGCTAACGTGGCACGTAGCGTGTCGTGCCACTCGCGGGGAGCCTGACGCAGGCCGTAGACCGGGCGCCTGAGAAGCCACTGGGTCCCAGGAGGGAAGGTACCAGTGAAGCCCTGTGGTCGGCGCAGGTAGACCTGCTCGTGTAGGCTGCCCTGAAGAAAGGCAGTAGAGAAGTCGAGGGAGTGAAGCTCGTAGTCACGCTGTGCTGCTACGTGTAGCAGCGCCCGAAGAGTGGTCATCTTCGGGGTCGGGGCGAAGGTCTGGAAGAAGTCAACCCCCTCGCGCTGACTGAAACCTCTGGCCACGTAGCGCGCCTTGAAGACAGGCGGCTCTCCAGGGGGGCGCTTCACCTTGAAGAGCCACCGACCATCGACTACGTTCACCCCAGGCGGGGGAACTGCGTCGACGTAAGTGCCGGTGGATCTCCAAGATGCCATCTCCTGCTCCATGGCAGCTATCCACTGAGAGGCCCAAGGTCCCGAGGTGGCCTCAGCGTAGGTGCGAGGGGTCGGGATGTCGAAGGCGTCTGGGTCACCCTCAGGGACTAACAGCATGGAGCAGAGATGGGGAGCAGCCTCGGAAAGGAAAGCCAACTCGTACTGCCTGTCCTCTAGGACGTCACTGCCAAGGGCAGGAGCACCCCCGACGGACAGAGGACGGGCAGGGTCAGAGACCAGAGCGGTAGCGTAGTCAAGGCGGCGGGTAGAAGCGAAGTCAGCGACAGCAGCGACAAGCGCGTCAAGGCGCGAGACAGGAACAGCAGGGTCGGTAACAAGAGAGGCAAGGACTCGAGGGACAAGGGGACGAGCAGCACGGAGGTAGTCAGAGAACGGAGGAGGTGCAACAGCAAGGGACGAGGGAGGAGGGGACGGGAGGAGGGGAGGACGAGACGAGTGGGAACGGAGCAACATAGGGTGGGTGGGCAGGACAGGAGAGACGGGACGAGCACGGGAGGGACGGCGAGCCCAAACGTGAGACGGAGGGGTAGGGTCAGGGGACAGCGGAGGAGACACAGGAGGGGAACGAGGAGGAAGACGGGCCGGAGATGAGTCTGGCGGCGGGAACACAGGACCGTAGACAGGGAGGTCAGGAGGCGGTGGGGGAGACACCGGCGCGCGGTCCGGGGAGGGAAGGCCGAGCAGGCGGAGAGCGGAAACCGGCGGCGACGGCTGCTGCGGCGGCGACGACGGCTGGGCCGGAACTCTCGGACCAGCAGAGGCAGAACGACCGTCGGCAGAACACTCAACAGCAGCACCCCCAGAACCAACACCCCCAGAGCGAGAACCCCCTCCAACACCAGCGGCACCCCCAGAAGCCGCAGGACGAACACCCTCCTCCACACCAGCACCCCCAGGGGCCGAGAGCAGCGGCGGCAGTGGCGGCAACGGCTGCGGCGGCGGCGACAGCGGCGACGGCTGCGGCAGCGACAGCGGCGGCGGCGGCGACGACAGCGGCGACGGCTGCGGCGGCGACGGCGACGGCGGCGGCAGCGGGGTCGGCGACTGCGACAGTGGGGGCGGAGGCACCGGGGAAGGGGGACGCGGCAAGGACGGACCGGGGGTACCACCAGAGTCAGCAGACTCCTCAACGGGGACAACCGACGGGAGGGGAGTGACGTGGGAGACACCAGACGGGGCAGGACGAGGCGGGAGAGGGGCAGGGGCTACCGGGGGAGAGGGAGCAAGGAAAAGGGGGGGGCAACTGGGAGACCTCGGTGAGGGAAGCGGCGGTAGAAGGAGACGGACTCATCAAAGGTGACGTCACGAGAGTGGAGGAAGCGGTGAGACGGCGGGTGGTAGAAAAGCCAGTCAGACGAGTCCAGGGGGAAACCGAGGAAGACACAGGGGACAGTGCGGGCAGTGAGCTTGTCCGTGCCAGAGGCACGAACGTGAGCAAGGCAGCCCCAGACGTGGAACGCAGACGCGTCACCGGGGGACCCGGTCCAAAGGAGGGTCGGCGAAACCTGCGGCCGCTGGGAGCGTGGCCACAGGTTAAGCTGGTGAGCCGCGTAGCGAACAGCGAACGGCCACAGAAAATGGGGGGCATCGGCATGGATCATGGAGGTACGGGCGACCTCCATGACCAAGCCGATGCGGCGCTCAGCAACCCCATTCTGCTGTGGCGAGTCCGGCAACGTGTACGACTGGGTGATGCCCTCCGCACGACAGAACTGTCCAAGCCGACCAGAGGCGAACTCGCCGCCACGGTCGGAGTGGAGACACAACACGGGGAGACCGCGGTGGAGACGCGCAGCCACAACCCACGGGAGAAGAACGTCGGGCACGTCGGCCTTCCGCTCCAGGGGAAACACCGTGGTGTAGCGCGTGTAGTCGTCGACAAGCACAAGGAAGTAGCGCTCACCGCGCGGTCCGGGGACGGGGGCAGGGCCCCAAACGTCCAAGTGCAGGGTCTGAAGGGGGGCAGTAGCAGGACGCAGCGAGGAGGAGTGAGGAGCACGGCGGAGCCGACCCTCGACGCAAGGCGTGCACGGTGGCGCAGTCGAGGGAGGAAGGGCAGGGAGCGACGCGGGGAGACCTAAGACAAGACCGTGCTGGGACATGTGACGCAGACGCGGGAGAGCAGGGTGACCTAAGCGGTGGTGCCAGAGAAGGGAGGGGTGAGTGAGGGACCGACACGAGCAAGCTGCAGCGACCTGGGAGGACGCACCAACCGGGGGGGAAGCGGTGTGTAGGGTAAACAGACCGGACACCGGGTCCCGGGGGAAAGTCGCAAGGGGGGAACCTGAGACAGCCTCAGAACAGACAGCGAACCGCTCGTGCCCGGGGAACGTGGTGGTGACGCCGAGGTCCTGGAGACAGCCGACACCAACCAGGTTCCTGGAGAACGAGGGAACGTGGAGGCCAGTAAGGGAGCCCGAGGGAACTGCCGGACAGGGAAGGGACGTAGAACTGCGCGCGACGACCGGACCCGCAGAGGGGTCAGCGAGAGAGACAACAGCAGGTGCAGCAAGCGGCGTGAGCGTGGAACGGTCGCGGAAGAAGCAGGCAGAAGCACCAGAGTCGAGAGTGAAGGACAGCGACGCAGTGGCGGGGGCCGGGGACGGAGCCGGTGCAGCGACTAGACTAGGCAACCTAGGCAGTCCTACGCCTGTCGCAGCAGGGGAAGCTAAGCTACACAAGGGTGAAACACCTAAACTAGAGTACACAGGGTAGTAAGATCCATCAACACTAGAAGCGTCAGCATACAAAGCATGCAAAGCAGCACCTATCTGATCCATGTCTAACTCAAAGATCGGCACGCCCTGGCGGAGCAGGCT